TATCGAACGGCAATAAGATTGTAAAACAACACATATTAGACGGGACATTTAGACTGCCAGATATTGGACCAACTTGGGCGAGCCATATTTACTTTCCTGAATGAATTTTAATTACTGAAGTGAAATACGACACCATTATATTATGATGTAATGGCTGCTTTTCATCACGGAAAACCAACGCATTGTCAAATTTTTAAATTCCTCTTCGGGTTTTCAGAGACGATCAACAGCACTCAACAGGTGTGCAAGGCCAAAGCGAAATTCACCCTCCACGATATTTGAATCACATAGGCCGCAGTAAATCACGGAGACAGATAATTGTAGTAGCCAAACAAAAAGCATTGTCTAGCTGTAATCGTCAAAGAATACTTCCCAAAATCTGAGAAGACGCCAAGCCTCTACAGTCATGTCAAATGTGGCTGCTTTGAAAACCGAATTGCTGAAACCCAGCGTGCTGAAAGAAGGGCATCTGATTAAACTTGGGAAATCGAGGTTAAAAATGCCGAAGTTACATTACTACGTGCTAAAACCTTGCGGCGTTTACTGCTTTGGCACGCAAGAGAACGATGTACCGCACGCTTACATACCCCTGGAACCTATCGAGGATATATCGCTGTCTTTGGGGAGCGTGATAGAAGCGAGCACTCGTTTGCACTGCATCAAAATAGCAGATAAAAGAAAGCAACATGTGCTCGCTTGCTCCTCGATGGAAATACGAAACTCATGGATTACTGCAATTCTCACTGCGGTAGCGCAGAATTTGGTGAACGAAAGCGACTCGGATATTTTAAGGAAACGGCTGAATTCGTCGTCTACGAACTCGGACGAAATGGACGGCGTGTTTGGGCAGTTTGGCGGTGGCGATGTGCAATTTACATCACCGTTCTGGTCGAACGAGGTAAAGCGCAAAGCGAAATCGAAAAGGCACTCTATCGCAGATTTGGGCTTGCTTCAAAAGCCCGCATGGATGAGCAAAGGAAAGAAGAAAGAACTGCGTTCGAAATCATTGTCACTTGAAGACATGCACAGCATATACACGGTGGAAGAGGCCAAAGCCCCTTTGGCAAGGAAACGCTCTTTGCACGATTTAACACGATACCTTTTCTCGTCTGGGTCGAAACAGCCCGACGTCGACCTTGAATTGCCGAAGCTTCGCATCAATAACGATGCACAGGGCAAGCCGAATAGGGCGAAGAAGCGCTGGTCTCTATTGCCAACGTTCGGCAGCGGACAAAATGCTATCGATATCTCCGTCACAGAGCGAAAGAAATTGTGTACAGCTGTCGGTGGCGGCGGCATTGCGAATGGGCAGTGCGGAAGTCCCCTGATTTTTGACACAAAATTATAGCTTCGTGAAGTCGACAATGGGATTGTTACTCGTTGTCAGTATATATAAATAGATGAGTCAGTAAATTGTACGGAATTATAGAGACAAGTTATAGGTGGAAATTTGCTGAGATTTGTTTTCAAAACAACAAACTTGTTTTCCTAAAGCAAATTCCCTTTGCTAAGGAGCCGTGTTCAAGTTGCCCTATTATACGCGAGCCGGTATCTTCGAAGGCCAACGCTTTCTTGCCGTGTTTTTTTTACCGTTTTTCATACATGTCGGTACGAGGAAAACGCGATGGGAAAACCGCGGTAGTATGCAACGAACACCACTAGCAAATATTTTCGGTATAAACTCGAAGCGAATATTATCGATGAGACACAAAGAGTTCATCTTGTTGCTTGAACGCGGGTTTCGTAATACTAGTGTCAGGGGAAACAGGACATGAATTGAGAAAAAAAAAGTTAAAAACTTGCACTTGCGAGTGTTTATTTTGTCGAGGGCGTGCGATATTATAAACTATCCTTCGTTGGGAACCTCAGAAATGTTTCCAAATCGGCCTTCAGTTTACCTATATGCCATGTCTCCAAAGCAATATAGGTAAATATATGTACATAGTTGAATAAATGTACCCTAGATATCCATCATACCATTTTCAGAGCGGGTTGTTTATATTTGAATTGGGGGCAGGGCGACCTATTGTATTCAATCCAGTCATCCAGAGTGTGGGAAAAAAAGGCGTGTAGTCGGTGACCGTCGGTCAGTCGGTGAGGAATACTTGTGGGCGCCATCTTGAACAATTTCCGAGATTACGATAGAAAGTACCTGAACAAATTCCGAGCGCATTTTTGGAAGAGATTTCGGTACTTGTTTTCTTAATATGGTTCTGCCGCAACCTTTGACCGATCTTGACGGAGGCTCTTTGAAGATATTTTTTATTTCAAAACCGGAATGAAGGTGGTTTAAAGTTACAAGACACTTTCTGGTTCGCCCAAAGAATCGCTACCGCGCGCGCTGAAATCAAACCTATCTTGAAAACCTTTACCATTGACTACTTTGCGGTGTTCACTAGTCTTCTCCGTTCTGAGAAAAATTTCGCTCTCGGGTCGCAAAACAAGCGGGCAAAAAAGCCGCATACAATTTTCTGAAACGATCCTAATCAGCGAAATTAAACAGCAGGTTGAACATCAGATAAAAATAGGAATTAGATTAATAAGACTCGGTAAAGATTTTCCGAAAAGGCCTCTCTTCTCCAGTCTCAATTCACAGACAGTCAGACACTGCGGAAATTGGTATAGACTTAGCCGAAAGTCTCAATACTTAGACTTCAAACTTGGTGGGAAAAACGATTTATAAATACTCAAGAAAATATGTCTTGCACAAAAGATTTGAAGCTTGCATACGGTAAAAACGAATTGCCTGAATTAATAACCTTGTGTATACTTTAAGCCTCAAAATGGCCGTTTCACAGCGGTCAGATGTGTATGAGCTGTCAAAAGATTGCAGAATGCGTATTCAGAAGAAAAATTGAACTTTTTTAAGATATACAAAAGGTTTCTCTTTGATAGCGGTACAGAAATGCACAATTGCATGTGAAACAGCGATTAGATTTTCGGATTGAAATGTCTTAAACACCAATTTCTGTGGTGTCAAAAAAAAGCGAGCGCATGAATCGCCATGGTTGGTGAAATTTATACCTTATCAATTAAAAACCTTTGGAAAATGTTGCGTAAATTGATCAAGCCGCATTGATGTATCATGCATGCTGTGTGCAATTCACTTGATAATAATAAGTTATGAAAACCGTCCTCAAAAATTGCTTCATGGGCCGGTAGTTCGAAAAGAGTTTAGGCTTAAAAACGACCCCGTAAGCTTTTGTATCGTGTTTAAATAAAGTCATTTTTCGAAATGGAAAACAAAATTATCTATTTATTAAAAAAATGAGCTGAAATATTTCGATCATTCAATGTAAATGGTTTAATTGTCAATGGAAGTACATATTTAATGCATAAGATGCAGGTTCAGTCATTCACAAGATGTATGAGAGTATTTATAAACTTTGGCTTATTCACCGTTTAAGCTAAACGCCTTTCGAACAACTGGCCGCCCAGGAATGAACATTTAAAGTCATATTCAAGGAAACTATTTTTAATACGGTTCCTATTCGTGTGCTGCCCTAAAGTAAACAACTTGTCAAGAGAGAGAGAGAGAGTGCTAATCTTTATCTTCAGAGCAGGTGGTCAGGTTGTAACTTCAAATTCACAATGCTTTTACATATGGAGTTACGTAATCATACTTATGACCAGATGTGCGTTGGTCGTAGACTTGAGTTGAAACCTCACCTCGTAAGCATTGAAAAAATCTGACAGCAATCGCTAGATATACCGGTTGCAGAACAATGAGTATTAGTGTATTACGTTATTTTAGTTTACGTTATTTTAGGCTAAAGTGCAGGGGAGTTAATACATTGTAGTCTCAAATGCTGACATGCATGATTGAGACTTTTAATCCTATCAAGGGTATCACTCATGTGGCCAGATATTGAATTTCCTATTGTCTTTGAACCCCCTGGAAGATGGAGGAAAAACGAGCCTCGAAACCAGCGGCTAAAATATAAAATGCACACCACAGTGTTTTACATAGATCAGTGGCTAAACACTGCTTACTTTGTATTTATCTAATTATCTTTAGCGCATGAGTACGAGGCTGTTCGTTGTGACATTGGGGTCTGGGATGCCTGGGGGGAGGTGGGTACGGTAGTTGAAAATCAGTGTATAAGTCCTGTATAATGTCTCCAAATACCCACCTCCTGACAGTATTGTTACGAACCTAAAGTCCCGTTTACACTGCACTTAATTTATTGGCACAGCACGGCTAAAATGGGTACCTGTGTTCAATTTTTTTAGTGTTCAGGCTACCAAAACAAAGGCCGAGCATAGATGGAATGGGCCGCACGGGTACCCATTTTAGCCGTGCTGTACCAATAAATCGAGTGTCGTGTAAACGGGGCTTAAGTCGGTGCAAGACAAGTATGTCGTCCGTGGTCCAATTCGTACGCGCGACACGAAGATGATAATGAAGTTAAGGACGAACTTCGCAGACGAATAGCCTTGCGATTCTAGAGCTCATTGATTGCATTTCTAGCATAAACTAAAGCAGTTTTTCAGCGACTGGTTGCAATGCAGTCCTTTTAATTGAAAGGTAAAAAAAATGTATTCTTTGCCCCGTTGTCTTTGCAGGCGAAAGACAAGAGGGGGGGGGGGATACCCCTAGTTCTGGACCTCCAACAAACTATCCTTCCATTGGCAATGTTCGTCCATGCGCAAATCCGTATTTTTTATTAACCATTAGCCATTACAATGGGTCGAAAGAAAGGATTTTGCATAAGGTTGTTTACTAGCATCTTTCAAGATTCTCTTCTTTTTGCCAGAAAACTTTGACGCCCAATTGCAAGTATTCAGTCAATAAACTTGATTTTCGCAGTGTGAACGCACTTCAGAGAGACCTTGCTCGAGCTGACAATGAAATGCGTTAAAACTCCACATTTCCAAATCGAAACCATCCCTAAGTCTGTTTACATCTCAAAAACCGTATTGAAAAGCCAAGTCTAGACAAGGAATGTCGTATAAACACAGCTGAAACTATGATATACTGTAACGAAAGACGTTGCAAATCTTTGTGCAATAAAATCTTTATCATATAAAATTTATAGTGCATATCTACTTTGGTATTTGTTCCAACGCGAAGAAAATCATTACCTAACGTTAATACAAGATAACGACTATTGGTACAATTTGAATTTCTTAAAGAATTTTGATATTTCCTCTCGTGGGTATGGCTTGGTTGCCAAGCACGTTGCATAGTTTTCAGGTTGCTCGACCCATAGTTTAAAATCCATCTTATTTTCACTAAGTTTCGTCGATAGTTTTGTTAATGCCTCTTCGCTTGGGACCTGAAATAAATTGATGTTGGTTTTAGAGCATGCTCTTCAGGAAGAAACTCGTAGTTGCGATTTTTTTCTTTCGATAGATGTGAATGAGAGAAATGATCACTGAATAAGCAACTTTTTGGTGATTTTATTTCACATGTTTTAGCATGTCAACTCGTTAACATCAAGCGAAAGAAGAACTATGTACATCTATCGTTACATAACATCAACAAAAAGATGAAACCGAATCAAAATATGGTAGAAAGGTTTAGTTTAAGAGGGCTTCAGAGCTAAAGTGTTAAAGTGAGAATTGCAATGGTTGCTATCCTGTTGTCCTAGTACAGAATACAAGCTCTGAGCTGCATTTTTAATTGTAGTTACATATATTTATAAACACAGTGGAATATATAATAAAACCTTTAACCTCAACTATAACTTTATGCATTCGATCCAAATCTTGCACATAATCAACGGTATAAGGATCATCTTTATACGACACAATCACAGCAGAACATGCGTGACATGCTTGGGCGATAACAGCGCCGGCTGGCCAGTTTAAGGTGGAAGACAAGTCTTTCCTAATTGCTATGTATTGTACAAGTTTTCTGGTCGCCATATTGTTTTTGGCGGGGTTATCAGGGGAAATTGGACGGTAGTTCGGGTAGTTACGGGAACTCGTTAGAGAAACCACACTAATCCCTGATTGTACCTAATGAGTTAAAGTGGCTGGTTGGTGACTTTTCGACCATTTGGACTTTGGTTAGTTGTTGGAACTTCCTCTAACTGTATTCTTCGAGGCGCTGATCCCCATACGCAACTGAATGTTCAAAAGAACTGACAACTAGCGTTCTAGCAAACCTAGCGTTTTATCCACGCTTCCGATGTTCTCAAAAAACCACCCACCAACACGGAGTTGCACAACCCCTAATTTTCAAGCTATATCCATGGAGATCGTCTTCAAAATATATGATACCATTGCTCTTGGTCCATATCTTTCTCTAATGTCTTTGCGACTCTGCGGGCCTATACCCGCAACTCCCCGCGCAAGACGCTTATTGAGTACGCCCCTGACTACGGACTTAGACAAGATAAACAAGAAAACAAATCATCAAAAACAAGTAGCTAAATTAAGCTAATCGAATCAGCACATATGTAAAAAAGGACAAATACTTAGATAGCACTTCTCGCTACAATTGAAATATTACGGTGTATAAAAATCAGGTGAATTTAATCAGATTTTTTTAAAAACACTCCAGAGCAATTCTTCTATCGTGGATCGTTGTGATCGCTTCTTTTTTAAACGCGGGAAATGGCAGAAAATGGAAAGTTTGATGGTATATAAAGCGATGACGTAATGCATCATGCTTATACATTTGATATTATTCTGGGCACCCCCCGCTCATGTTTCGCAGGGCCGTCGTCATCACGCGTGCTGTGTGTGAATATATTTCGAGCCTCTTCTGTCTATTGGCAAAAGTTTAGAAGGATTTTAGAAAGGATTTTTTCTTTTCTCTTCTTCGTTTTAAATTTAGTTGAGCAGCAATGGCAATGAGCGAAGTCGACAAGCATGTGGCGAAGGCTAAGGTCGCCGAGCAAGCCGAGAGATACGACGATATGGCCGATGCAATGAAGGAAATTACAAAGATGGGCCATAGCTTGAGCCCTGAGGAGAGAAATCTTTTGTCGGTTGCATACAAGAACGTTGTTGGGGCCAGGCGATCGTCGTGGCGAGTCGTGTCTAGTATAGAAGGAAAGGCAGACAGTACTTTAAAAAAGGACATCGCCGCGAAATATAAGGCGAAAATTGAGAAGGAATTACAAGAAGTTTGTAATGTCGTTCTGGTAGGTACATGCATAATTCGACTTAACAATATGGCGCCCCACCCTCAAAACGACGATTTTGCCGGCAATTGACCAGTATAAGAGCACGTTCGACTGCTTTTTTCAAGCCTTCCTTCTCGGTAAGTTCTGAAGTAACCCTCGAGCCCGAAATTGGCCCTTTTCAACGATCGCTTTTCGTCGAACATACGTGCGTCTTTCGAGTCAGTTGCAATGCAAACAGTGTTTCATGTTTTGAAATTTCGCCGCCCTGTGACATTTGACGTTTGTATTTTTTCTAGGGACTACTGGATGATCATCTAATAACCGTTGCCAAATCAAATGACGACAATGAAGCGACGGTGTTCTACTTAAAAATGAAAGGCGACTATTATCGCTATCTTGCCGAGGTTGAAACCGGTTCTAGCGACGAAAATAAGAAAAAGCGCGACGGTAGGAAGTGCGAATTTTTTCGTATAATTTTCATATTTTTGTCCTCTTTTTATTACCAAATTTAAAACGTATACATGGCAGGACCCTTCGTACAACTTTGGAACCATTTGGGATACTAAAATCTAGCGATATTCGTCCTTTAAATTGGGATTGAAATTCGTTTCTCTTTCAATAGCTATGCCAGCCTAGGAATTTTGGCGTGCACGCTCGTGGTGCCGTGATTTTTAATGTTTCGTGTTGAAAAACTGAAACACATTGTACAATCGCAGTCTCGTGATATTGTGAGAACGTCTATCCTTCACGAAATTCCATGAAAAAAAAATGCGTTTCGAGAAAAAGAACCAAATTTGCAATTGCTTGGTATTTTCTCATTTGTTAATTGTGGGTATTGTTATTCCTCAAAGTACCGATCAGAATTCTTCTCAAAATACGGGTTACAACGTTTGAAAATTTTAAATTTTGACTTACACCCTTTGTGGGGAATAGTCACACGCTTAGTTTGATGAGAGGTTGAACCATTAACCCTGGAGCAATTAATGGTCACTTTTTGAAATACCTACATTCAAATTATTTTGTTAACAACATGCAGTTTTGTGGACCTAATATAACTTACAATAATGTATATTAATACCATTCTTCTGTACTCAAACATTGCATCAAAAGCATTTTGTTAACAAACTTTAAAAAATCCTTAAAGAAGTACATGCTTTTAAAATGGATTCAGAGGTGAAACTAGTTTGGGCAAGTTTGGTCGTAGCTCCGCAGAAATGTTTTGTCCAGTTCTATATTGCAGTCTGCTACACATGAGCAAAATGTGATATATATATTTATATGTCAGATTTTACAACAAAATACTATTAGTAAGGTGTCTTTGTCACATACGGCAATACGAACAGGACACACACTTTTGCGCTACCTGTGGTTAGGCGCAGTGGTATTTTGGTGTGGAAAAGTGAAAAATATGTATTTAATCTGTTTACAGAGGTTGTGGAAAAGTCAGAAGATTCTTATAAGGAGGCCTATAAATTGGCAAAAGAAGCAATGGCTTCAACCCACCCAATCAGACTTGGGCTAGCATTGAATTTTTCAGTTTTTTACTATGAGATCAAGGATTCTCAAAATGAAGCCTGCGATCTTGCCAAGCAGGTAACAGATTGAGTTCTATGTGACTTTGCATTTCTCATTTAAAGCAGGTAATTAGGTTGCTACTATAATTGCCATGGCCAACTAATTTGCTGTTTCGTTGTGACTGTCAAGTTTGTAGATAGTTAGGATGCACGAGTGCCTGTACATGTGAAGGCCAACGCATTTTTCATCCTTCAGTTGCATTTGTTTTAATTCAGCATCTTTCTACAGGCTTTTGACAGTGCCATTGCTGAACTTGATGAATTAAAGGAGGATTCTTACAAAGACAGTACTCTGATCATGCAATTGTTAAGGGATAATTTAACAGTAAGTAGTGAACTGATTTAGTTGTTCAACCTATTAACAAACATCATTTGTAGAGACTAGGGCATTTCTATTTACAAAATAAAAGTTTCTTGGATTTGGTACAATTTCCTTTTCTTTTCTAGTTATGGAAGAGTGATGTCCAAGGTGACGAGAATGGCGAAGAGTAATATTAGATATGGTTAAACAAACGTAAAAGACAGTTGTTCTTTGAAGGATTACTTTACTGTTAGTTTTATTGCTGTTGTACGAATATCCAAATATTCAGTCTGCTTATTTTACCTAAATCTTTATTTTGCCCCAAGAGACAGTCTTAATAAGCATGATGTGAGAAATGAATGATTGATATTTGTTTACAAATTTTTAGTTTCAACATATGCTAGACTCTGACCAGCATTGCATGCTTTCTGCACGGATGTGTGATTTGGCTTATTTGTACATCATCATTTTCACTGACATGACTTGTAAATTGTAAACTTTCCCTCCATGTGGTTGATGATTTTTTGTGATACTGTATTAAAAATTCTCCAATATCATCTATCATTTGAACTTCTTTGTCTTTCCTATGATATATAATAGAATGTTGTCAGGACAAAAGACTGTTGTAGCTTTGATGTGTACTTTGTAGTTAGCACAGCATTTTAAAACCCCAGGGTTTCAGTTTTTTTGTTTTAAAGACCAAGAAATTATGGCAAGATACACAAATTCTGGTGATATTTCCAACTTTATCCCAAAGGCCACTGATCATGATTTGAAATAAGTCAAAATTTTTGTCTTTTAGTAACTCAATTATGTGTTGGAAATTATTGCAATAGATAAATCTATAATAATTTTAATTTGTGAATAAATTTAAAAAAATAATGCCGGTAAACCTCACGACATTTGTCGTTAACATCCACCAAGACCCAAAAAGTACACGAAGTTACTTCTAACATTCGTCGTTAACATCCACCAAGACCCAAAAAGTACAGGAAGTTGCTTCCAACATTCGTCGTTAACATCCACCGGGATCCAAAAAGTACACGAAGTTGCTTCTAACATTCGTCGTTAACATCCACCGAGACCCAAAAAGAACACGAAGTTGCTGATAACGCTTACAAAGTAGACTAATTTGATGGTTAGAAGGGGCAGCACTTTGTAACCGTTTTTGCGGCTACGATAAAAGGAAATAAAGCGAAATAATTAACATTTTCTCGAATTAAGAGTCTTTGTCATATGAAAGTTGGAATGAGGAAAAGCAGAGATATTAATATGTAAAGAATGTTTGTTTCGTATGAGTATAAAACCACTGAACCATGTATATTAGATGGACTAAGCGCTCTACCTATTTAATGATTTTTAAAGCTGGATAGGACCACCGTTGCCACGTCATATAGGTCCTTGCCCTCATACTCTAATAGGTCACGGGAAATAAACAGAAAATGGAAAACGATGACATAATTCAGTTTATAAATTTGACCGGGAGAAATCAATATTCTATCTCATGAATCAAACGTGTATGATGCGATAAGAAAAGATCGCGGTTTTTACAAAGGTCCGAGCTTCAACGACATTTGGCCCGAAGATGAAATAAACTAGAGTGAATTGTAGCCTTCAGATAAAATGGGAAACACAAAATCAAAGTAGTATAGATTAGTGGTACCAGCATTACTAAGCTCTGGTAAGAATGGATTGCTTCATCCATTAAATGTAAATGGAGTAAATTAGCATATGACAGTATGAATTGTAAGTGTTGACGAGATTCAATCACGACAAGAATGAAAAGACAAGAAAGAAAAATATTTGACGTTTAGAACGCCGTTTATTTTTAATCCCTACCTACCAAGTAATTGAGCCTGTTTTATAAACGGCAAATATTTCTATGAAAATAAAATCCACAAATGGCTATCCCTAAAATATTTATACAACTAGCTAAAAAAACACCTCCGTTTTATAGTATATTTTGTAACAACGCTTATCAGCTGGACCACAATGTACCAAACATCAAAACGGTGGGTTTACTTCTATCCTGGATGTCTTGGGTGAGATTTGAAAAATCTACGCCAGTCGCCTACAAGTGTCGTTGGTCAAGCAAAATACATGTGCTTCAAGGAGTTTGGGTGAACCTGCACAGCGTGGGCTTGAAATTCTGCACTTAAGTCTTTCTTCGTATCCGAAGGGCTGGAAATAAACGTGGAAAAAATGTCAGTTTTCTTAAAAAACAGGATTTTGCTACCGGATAAAAATACACACACGGAATAAACACACCACCGGAGTTAAGAAACACGGAATAAACACATCAACGGAGTGAAAAAACACACGGAATAAACACACCACCGAATAAAAATACACACACGGAATAAACACATCAACTGAGTGAAAAAGCACATGCACGGAATAAACATACTACCGGGTGGGCATACTACCGGAATAAAGAGTACCGGAATAAAGTATACTGGAATAAAGAGTACCGGTATTTACTCACCTCTCCTTCGTTTCTTTCTCTTGCAAATGATATCTCGCCCTGAAGGCGACGAGATGAGCGTAAAATGCCGGGGCTGGAATAGAGACGGATCTGGAGCAGCGGACATACGTGTGACACAGTTGGTAGGTCAAAGCCTGAATCTCGTCCGCAGTGAAATTGTTATCGTCCCACAAAACGTGATAATGGGACGGCCGGCTTGTTCCCTTCATGTCAATTGGGATAAAATGGAAGAAATAAAATTGAAAAACGAAATGATTCGGAAAGGGTCCATCCAGTGAAGGAAAATACAACTTGAGTGCTGCGGAGACGCAGACCCGGCGAGAAAGGTCTACCGGATTTAGGTGGGTCAGTTTAAAGAATAATTGAATTACAAGGAATGAACTGGTCATTAAGGAAGGTTGACAGTGAAACACTGAATAAAACATGGCAAAAGAGTAAGTAGAGTAGTAAGGCTGGCATTAGTAGGAACAGTTGAGAACAGTCAGACTAGCAGTACAGCAACGAAGCATTAATAAAAGTGGTCCAGCCGCAGGAGGTTTGAAAACACTTAGCAACTCTCACAATTATCCGCACATGCTGTTGTTTACCTACCTGAACTCCAAAGTGGCTGCAAAGATAGAAATCAAATTCTGTAGGATGCGTAATACCGCTGTCCACCATAGTTCCCGGCGGAATGTTGTCACTACGACCACACTAAAAGAAACACGAGATTAACAGTTAAGCGCAAGGATTAAACAGAGATTAAAGCAAATCTGATCGGGTCTAACCTGATCCTCTTTCTTGACGCAAAATAATCTCGTATGGTGACGTTTTTGTACGACGATGAACGTGATACCAGGCTTGTACCCAGACTCCAACTTCAAACATGCCTCGCGGACGGCTTTCAGTTCGTGTGAAATCACCTGAGAATACGCAACAAAATTATTGAAAAACACACGACCATTAAATTCTCCCACTCGATAAATTGCTCTTACTTGATCAAACTGTCCCTCGCTCACGCCATCGCGGTAGAAAATGATACGACACGGCTTGTGAATGGTCGCTTGATAGAACTGGATCAACAATTCCCGAACCATTGACGACAGTTCCCCGATGATTTCCTGTGAAGAATATCACAACGTCACGTTTCTGAACGAGTTCAAAATGTGTCCGCACGAAACTGAGATGACGAAAATATTGGTCTCAGCGAACCGCATACCAACACGCGCGCGGGCTGTCCCGGCAAATTGTATCCGGGATTTTTTCTCTTACCTGGCGGTGCGTCTGGACTCTGACGGACGCACTGTAGCGGCTTGGATGTGCATCCATACTGCCGACAACCTGTAACAACAAATTACACCTAGTTAACCACTTAAACGGCTTTTGAAGAAGGTCTATAGGAAGCATCTCCCCCCACGAACATGTGTTTCCCACCCTTCCCTCGTAAATTACTTCGCAACATCACTCGATATCGCACTCATTGTAAACAACCTCGCCCCCAGGCTCCAGTACGTACGGCAGGTACGTGCGCGAAGAACGAGGGCTCAAGATAAAACAAAGCTCAGTTGAATTCGCTTACAGCTGCAATCGATGGCTTCTTCTCGTCGCCTGCGGCGGGGTGCGTCACGTCAGCGCCGAAGAATATCACAGGCTGTTTGAAGAACGGTGGCCTGGAAACGAGTAATATATAACGATATAAGTTTATGTTCTTTACCGACCACCCACAAGGCCATCATGTGGGTACGAGGCACGCAAGATCTGGAGGAGGGGAGGCTTTTGTGGGGCACTAAACATGGCAAATGTCTGTAAATAAAAAAATACGGGAAAGTGTTCTATCAGCTGGAGCATATTTTATTACCACTTTAAAAGTCGAGGGGCGGTGGGAGACGGGGGGGGGGAGCGTACTATACCCCCGGCTCCAGGTACGGCAATAAAATTACCTGATCTCCGGAGCCAAAACTGTGTTGATGCCACCGAGTTTTACGTTGATTTTCAAACAAAGGTTTGCCAGAGTTTGTCCACTAGGGTTCATCACGTTCTTTAGCTGAAGACATTGCGTCGCTACACCAAGTAACGTGTCGCCAATACGCTTGACCTCCGCTGACAAAATGACAGGAGAACAATGTTATAGCTAAAAGCCCGCGGTTTAACAATCATCTTTCACTTCATTTTATACTGATTATGAAGGATATGACACAGGAAGTCAACTGCTTTGCAAGTGGGCAGAAATAGTCCTTCCCTAATAAGCAGAAATATTTTTAGTGACATTATACACGAGCTTGACCTACCATAAACCATGCTCTTGCCATTTAGGACGACTACGATTAACTGGATGTCTTTAAACGAGGCTTTAATTTGAGTGAGCAATGGTCCAACCTGCAATGAAATTTAAGATCTATTAACTATCCAGTAATCACACTGAGATCAAAGGAAGTCTATCCAATACTAATCTAGAGATCAGTGATATCTAAATTTGACTTGAATCCGGATATCATTACTCATTTGAGTCATTCCCGCTACTCTGTTGTAATATAATGCAACGAACGAGTGGTAATAATAATCCAGTTTCAATCTACACGTCAGTAGCAATGAATACAGTTCTAATCTAAAGATCAGTGGCTCTCATTACCTCCTTATCATTTCTAGCATATCTGATGAAACAAGGCTGAGGCGAGATTGGCATGCCGGAGTCGTTCCCAGTCTTCGCCAGTTTCTGGGTGAAATTTCTCAAATGATCTTCAGTGCATTTTCGCGGGTGTGCGAAACAGGCAATGGCCCATTCCTTGATCTCCACACCGTGGAACAACTGCTTCCCTTTCATCACCCACACCCCTGAAATACGAGAAACCTAAATATAATTCAGGCGGTATAATCCCCCCTCTTTAAACCCTTCTGAAATCAGTTATCATTGTTCTACATTTTTGTCACGCTGTGGTACAAGAATACTTTATGGAACGCGGGAACTCTTATTTTCATACATTCAGATCAAAACTTCCAATCTTGCTATATTTCCTTACCATTTCTCGGAACTTCAGTGACTTTTTCCTAGAATGGAGAAGGTTAAGATAAGATTATCTAACTTCGAGGGAAAGTATTTTAAACGACTTCCAATTGGCACTTACCTTGCCACCAAACACCAGCTTAGGCGGAGGTAAAACTCTCCCAGTGACAGAGACCATTTGTTGTTGAACAGTAATGCCAAATTCTTGACAGTGTTTGTCGTTGGAAAAGTTGGCTTTGTGCATCTGAAAAAACAGCAATTTTAATTGGACCTCTAGGAAGAACAGTTTAGAACTGATAGAACTATCCAGTATAAATAAAGTTAGTTTAGTTTAGGTTTCCTCCTGTAGTAACACTTAATCAATAAGAGATGATCCTTACTGGACCTCTAGGAAGAACAGTTTAGAACTTATAGAGTTATTCAGTATAAATAAAGTTAGTTTAGTTTGGGTTTCCTTCTGTGGTAATACTGGATCAATAAGAGATGATCCTTACTGGACCTCTAGGAAGAACAGTTTACAACTGATAGAGCTATCCAGTATAAATAAAGTTAGTTTAGTTTGGGTTTCCTTCTGTGGTAACACTGGATCAATAAGGGATGATCCTTACTGGACCTCTAGGAAGAACAGTTTACAACTGATAGAGTTATCCAGTATAAATACACACATTTTAGAACAACTCACCAGGCTAATTATCTCTTGTTGTCTATCCGGTGCTGGTTTCGCTGTACATTTGATCATCTTTGTTGTCTGTTTGTCAGTTAATTTTTTCGTACACCGCTGACCAGATACAATCGAACACACCTCCAAGGGCAAGAAAGTTTGCTTCTGTGGTTGACCGACCTGGAGACAAGGCAGATGACCGTAACTAGAGAAAAATCAGAAGGTGAGATTTTAGAGTTTTGTTCTAAACTGTCCTTCCTAGAGGTCCAGTAAGGATAATCTCTTATTGACCCAGTGTTACTACAGGAGGAAACTTAAACTAAACTAACTTTATTTATACTGGATAGCTCTATCAGTTCTAAACTGTTCTTCCTAGAGGTCCAGTAAGGATAATCTCTTATTGATCTAGTGTTACTACAGGAGGAAACTTAAACTAAACTAACTTTATTTATACTGGATAGCTCTATCAGTTCTAAGCTGTTCTTCCTAGAGTTCCAGTAAGGATCATCTCTTATTGACAAGTGATACTAACTGTGTTTGCAATAACAGTTTAAACACATGGATTACTATTTTTTACTTAAATATATTGTAATCTCTGATTAGTCAAGTCATTTCTATATTAAGAAATCTTGGTGGAGGAGAGATTTATTAATCTAGTATCTTTTGAATGTCAAGCACACAGAGGGTTATTTAACACGAGCTTATGTTTCAAGATTCAGGCAGATTTTATTATGACAAAGCTACATACAGCAACTGTCTCTTGTACTTTTCCAGGAAATATCTCTGCACAGTAATTTCATCACTCTGTCCGTTCTCACGTGTTCTTGGAAAGGTCAGTATGCACGCGGGCTCACGTGTCACACTGAACACCCGATACTTTCTCTTGGCCTCGCCACAATGACTGATCTGCACTTTTAAACCTGGACAAACACGAAAACTCAATTAATTCAAGCACTGAGCAGTCTGAGCTCTATGTGAACTGGAACAACAATTTGAAAGACCAGTCCCAGTCTATATCCATTCTGTCCGCACGGTCGACGATCGCGGGCTTAAATCCACGGGCGATCGATTTCACTAGGCATCCATCTTTGTTGTTTTAAATCCATATACATAATCTTAACAATCCCATCAATCTAAACTTTAAATGCATCGAAGAAACTATTTCTGTCTTCATTTTTTTGTTATGGGAATGGTTTCCCGGGCGAAGTTTGAACATAAGAATACATTCCTTTTTTTTCTGTTCACACTGTAACGCACCTTTAATTTCTTTCGTAAATTTCACTCGGTCATCTTCGCTTATGCCCGATCTAGGATGCAGCAATCTCTGTGGATTTTCACCGATGATTTCCGAGAGAAATTCGATGACTGAGATTGCCTTATGAAAGGCTGTTGCTGAGGCTGCAAGGACGAAAAGAAAAACTTGACTTAGGTCTGATTTGCAGTACACTGTCTATATTTGTGTGATAACGGTTGGAGTTTTGCTTAGGTGAATCCCCACTCCGAAAGGATCGATGAGGGTAAGTTTACCTTGCGCATTTTGCTACGATTTTACGTGCGATTTTCTACTTTTGAGCGATGAGAACAAGTGATAAATAAGCTACAGGGGCGTTTGGGCGAGTTTTTGTAAAGAGCCAGTTAATTAATGTACACTTGTAAATTCTGCCGCGATTTTCGGTTCGATTTTCGCCTTTCGATAGATGCAAACGAGCGAATAGTTATGAATGCTCTAACGTAAGAAAGCAAAAACTCATTCACTCATTTACATCTTCCATAAGTTGAAAATCGTAAAGTCTTAAGGTGTCGTTTGAGGACCCCGTAATGCACTTTTTCGTTTTGTTTAGCGAACTTACAGTCGATATTCACGAGCATTTTCCATTGTGATGGTCGTACGCTCTGATGAAATCCAAACCACACTTCGCGCCCGCACTCCAGATTTGAGGAGTTCACGTCGTTGATTGGTGGAGAGAAAAACGATCGACCAATAGAAATGTACTGGGACGAGAGGAAATATCTCAAGACGACATCAAGGGCTTGGATTGAGTCGAACGGAATCATTTTCAAACGACCTTTTAATGCTTCTTCCAATGCAAACATGCTGACGAAAGTCACCCACTTTACAGAGACCTAAATGTTTAGGATTATCAAAAATTAGAGAAAATAAAATCCATACAATGAATCACTTCTCCCTTAAATTAAATTGAAAACTAGAAAAATCGTCAGTATGCAGCTAGGGTTATAACAACTTGAATCTCCAAGGTTTTGATTTTCACAACACAGCATTGCAAACTCTGTTTATGTTTTCTCAGCAAATCACACCCAAAATTTAGTACAAATTGAAAAGTTTTTGAATAGTTGATGAATATTTCTAGGAATTCTAAAAGGGATGGTCCATTCCAGTGGATTAGGTTGAAATGAAAAGGGGAAGTACATGTAGGGATCAAAGAAATGTTTTATGGGGCAAGATCTTTTTTTAAGTGAAGCAAACATGACTTAAAAGTATTAACTATTACATAATATGAAAAGGTCTAAGGGGCAAACTAGGGGGTACAACACCCCTTTCCTGTCACCACCACTATCCACTGTGCTTCCTTTGTGGGCATTTTTTATAAGTGTGTGATAATCATGCTGATATTATAAACCTAATTCAGTTATTTAGTGGAATTATTAAAGAAATTCTTAAAGTTTGTAGAAACTTTACATCACCTTGAAATGCCGTTCTTGGTCGTTATCTCCTGGGATTGTGACAAGAAATTCTTTCTGTAAAAAAATGTCAATTGTAAGTAACAGAAAAGAACTTTCTTGAAGCATTTTAAGCATTTTGAAAGTCAAAATAATGCAACTCTTAGCATATGTTAAATAGTTAAAACACACTGCAGTATTTGAAAAATCTACACTTGTAAACATTCATAACAGCATACTTTTTCTTTGTCAATGGGTAAGGGGCATCGACTGTACAGATTCTTGCGACCATCATAAACAGGTTTCTGGCCACCAAACATCTTATGGTATTGATCGACCATCGTTTGAACAACGGCATGGTTAACTGCCCTTGGACATTTGTCAGGAGTGACTGTAACATTGTAATGGTGGATATCCCCTTTGGGAAGCTTCAACTCAAAGAAATTTGCTTGAAGCTGTATGTCCCTTCCTTTCGTTCCATAGCCCGGCCGTTTGGGAGAAACAACCGTCTCTATTGGAAGTTTTTGTTCTGTAATAAAGTGATTGAACATAAGACACAATGATCCTTTACCAGCCGACTATGCTGCACAGGGAAAACAGGACTCATCAAAGGTAATGCAATCCTCTCTAAATCCATGTGACATAACCTTTCAAAACTGTTTTCATAACTAAATTAAATGTTCATGCTTTTGCACAAAAGAAAACGGTCAAGTTTACACTTGAGGCTAATAATACCCAACCTGCAGTTGTTCTTAAGATCAACATGTCACATTGTTTTAAATTTAACAAAAACATATAAATTTAGCTTGCCTATAAAAAATGGTTCGACATTTTATACTTCAATTACAGTACATAAAAATTTAGTTTGATCTATTCTATTCATGAGCGGAATTTTAGCTGAATGTATCCAAATTATTGAATAGTTTTCGTTTGGTAAACAGCCTGAAACCAAATACTGTTTGCCTCCAAAGTAAACTTAAACGTTTTCTTTCGTTTGCTGTCTACAAAGTGCACAAAAAACCCAGGAAATATTTGTCCGTATTGTCTAGACGGCGCCGTCTGCAAGGCGCTGAGGCATCAATATTGATCAAATGTGAATTAACATGAGTTCAAATATGCACCAAAATTGACATGGAATTCAAAGCGGTTTTCGATTCTGTTACCTGGTGCAGCAGTCGCCATCCTCGGGGTTGGCCTGGCAGCCGGCCAAATGGCCTTAAATTCTGGTTTTAAAACATTTTTCAACACAGAAGATGATGAGACAAAAAAAGTTCACTCTTTGTACGGCTCCATGTTTTTTAAATCTGAAAGTTGAAACAGCAATACAAATACACAGTGGCAAAAACGGAAAACTTCATATAAGAAAAAGTAACACGGTTTTTAAAACACATAATGTGGATGGGGTTGAATGTTGATCTTTTAATTTTGTTTGTTCGCAAAGCTGTCTACTGGAAAAGGATTTTGTCGTATTTCCTTTGACAAAGTTGACTAAAAAATAGATTTCATTTGTGGTTTCATGCAAAGCAAAACCCCTCCTACCTTCTTACTCAGTTCTTAGCACTCCAACAATTCAACTTGTTCCAAAATCATTACAATTTAACGAAAAGAAAGCCAATCTTCACCTACAGCAGACTTTCTTCCACACGGCAGCCTCGTTTGAAAGGAATATTAGTACAGGAGAGAAGGTGTGAAGAACGGTTGTTGATGGATAGATTTATATAAAATTTATTGCCGAAAATATAAGGCAGTTACACCTGTTAGGTTTGAAAAGGATACACAACTTCCTTTTGAGATTTCCATCAAATTATTCAAATACCCCCTAACACAACTAGAGTATATAATAGTTAGATGATAGTTTAAAATTCTGCAAACTCTAGAGACATTCAAGCCGAAAACCAACAAGCATTCCATCATATAAACTCTATTTAACTCAATACCACAAAAATACTTGGGACAAAATAAACTGTAAACTATAGCGTTCATCGTGCTAAATATTTACAGCAAGAATTAGACGTGGCATTTTCACTTCTGATATATCCCCAAGTTTTAAATAGTTCATTCTGAAAAGCTGCAATCTGCTCTATCGGTGAGGTTATTTTGACACAAAGTAAGAGTAATTCTTAGCTGGTTGAAATTTCGTAAGATACGTTATTTGTACCACAATAACTTGGAATTCTATCGTAATATACACAAAGAACATAGCCAAGATAAAGTGGGTTGAACTTTGGAGCAGCCTGAAATTAGTAAACACGGACTGCTGGGGGTACTGTGGGACATTCATCGTCATTTAGGGTCTCGTCAATTACACCACGGTAATCAAGTGTTACCTGTAAGGAAGGAAGACAACATGGTTATAAATGACGAACTAGGTTCAGGTATACCAAAGTTCGTTTATTTTAAGTTTCCTCCTTTAGTAACACCGGATCAATAAGAGATGATCCTTACTGGACCTCTAGGAAGAACAGTTTAGAACTGATAGAACTATCCAGTATAAATAAAGTTAGTTTAGTTTAGATAGTTACTAGTAGATAGATATAAGATAGATAATTATAAAATTACTAACTTTGCCAGTTTTACTATCTTGATAAGATAAGGTGTGTTTACGCCAGTGTTCGCTCAGAGGTTTTGGCGTCTGTCCCTCAAGCGGTTCCTTGTAGTCATACTCATCAATACGATCCTGAAATAATTACAAAAACACTCGTTTCAGAATGACAGTTTATAGCATAGCTAATGCAGTGAACTCTATGTAAACTGGAACGATAACTTGTCCTCTTTGGAGGGGTATAATTGTCACTGAAAAGCCCCAATGGGGAGTGTTTATATTATATTGCATTGTATTATATAAATATGTTTACTTCTTTGCTTCGTCTTACCTTGAAGTCTTCTCGCGCATGCGCACCTCTGCTCTCTTTTCGCGCCTCAGCAGAGTATATCGTTTGAGCAGCATTCAGCATCAAGTTTTGCAACTCCAGTGCTTCGACAAGGTCAGTGTTCCACACCATTCCTCGGTCAAATAGTTTCAGATCGCTAAATTTTTCGAAGCACGCGTCCATCTTCTCGCAGCCTTCCTGTAGCACCGGTCCAGTGCGAAAGACCGCAGCATTCGTCTGCATTACCTGAAGAAAATTGAAACAGATAAGATCCTTTAACGCCCGGCAGTTCTAATACTCCGCTTACTTCATGTAAGGTGCAATGAATCGTTAGATTTTACACCATTTTAATATTAGATGCTGAAATAATGTGGGGAGACTTTATCGTTTTACCCTTTCACACTTTTGATGCCACTTTAGTTTTCTCCTTTTGATAGAAAAAAATCGTGGATGTATATTTGAGGGCCTTTAGGCAAAACAGTAAGTGGATAATTCGATAAAAAATCGCAAAATTCAGCCAATTCCAAGACGTTTGCGATGAGCTTAAATCTGATGTTGCAAGGGCTCCAGAAAACGTCAATCTTTTGACACAATTCTTAATATTCCCACATGTATATTTTCACCAATAGACAGCGCTCCAGTTATGTATATCATGCTTTTATGGTTCTTACTTTCTGCATTTCCAATCTCAAATCAGCTACGGTGACGTTACCATCAGCATGACGTAATTTATCCAACTCTGCTACACTCTCTTCGCCTGCGTCCTAATAATATAAAAGCACAATTACCTCAATGAACATTCTATACAATGGATTCACTGGGGCAATTGGGATCTCACCTGAGATAACTGTGGCAATTGTTCACCCGGTTTGTTTTCCTCTCTGATGAAGTTCGCGCATGCGCGCCCGAACACGACGAGATCCAGCAGGGAATTAGCTCCCAGTCTATTCGCGCCATGCACCGAGGCGCATGCAGCTTCGCCAGCGGCCCAGAGTCCCTCGACTATTTTATCTTCACCGTTTACAACATCAAGTACCTATGAGACATAGGTCATGTTAAAACAAGATTTTGACACAAAAATCAGAGCATATCGTTCTAATACCTGTCCTTTGTAGTTAGTCGGTACGCCACCCATGTTGTAGTGCACGGTTGGTAGGACTGGGATGGGCTCGCGAGTCACATCTACCCCGGCAAAAATCATTGCGGTCTCAGAGATGCCGGGCAGGCGCTCTGCCAGAAGTTCCGCAGGAAGGTGAGACAGCTGTAGAAATACGTGATCCTTCTCTGGACCGACACCTCTGTCGAGAAACAAAGTCTTATTAAGCGCGGTGATTGCTAGCTTTCATTTGGGATGAAGTTTGTTGCAAAGACACGTGGTATTCATCAACATACCTTCCTTCCCTGATTTCCAAAGTCATCGATCGTGAGACAACGTCACGCGAGGCAAGATCTTTGGCTGTTGGTGCGTATCGTTCCATGAAACGTTCACCCTGACCGATAATAAATGTTTCAGTGAAGATCTATTCCAATTTTCTATTTTGGGGGTCCAAAAGACATGTTGGAATACTAACAGGGCCTTTACTGACTTACTGTTATTCAGTTCAAATTGAGTCCCAGTCTGGTTTTGTACAGTTCTATGACATGCTAGTTTAAATCGTATTTGTACCTCACTATTCACCAAGTACCCTCCTTCACCCCTAGAGCCCTCTGTTATCAAGCAGCCAGCACCGTATATGCCTAAGTATAATGAGAAATATGAGAAATAATAAATTGAAGGGTGCAAAAATCAGGAGTGCCTGCAAGAGTGTTGCAAGTACCTGTGGGGTGAAACTGGACGAACTCCATATCTTCATTTGGCAGACCAGCCCTTGTGATCATTGCGGTACCATCACCGGTACAGGTGTGTGCTGAGGTACATGAAAAATAGGCCCGGCCATAACCACTAGAAAAATAAAAATTTTCCTTGTTGGTGAAGTAAATCATTAAAGTGGAAGCCAAGTCAGTTCTGCACATTGGGTTCCCTCATAACAATTTGAGGTTCTGCTAAATTTTGAACTCACCCGGTGGCAATCACTGTGTTCTTAGCATTAAATCGATGCAAAGATCCATCCTCCAAACACAACGCAATCACACCAGCACAACGGCCTTGCTCCATCAACAGATCCAGTGCAAAGTATTCAACAAAATAATCTGTGTCATAGCTCAGGGACTAATGTAGAGACACAGAAAAAATATGTTGAAACAACACATACATTTATTCAACTGGGTGTAACTAAGCAAGGTGTACAATATATTTAGAATGTGTGTAATTTTGTGTGTTATTTAACAAAAAAGTCATGCAACACAATGTGTGCATACTTTAGCAAGTTTCACACCAAAACATGTGTCTTCTTTTTATTCTCTATGTACGAACCTGTCCATACAGTGTGTGAAGCAAAGAATGGCCAGTTCTATCTGCCACACAACAGCATCTGTGTGCCTGACCACCCTTGCCGTAATCATAACTTTGACCACCAAACGCACGCTGGTAAATCTTGCCCTCCTCCGTACGACTGAATGGCATGCCATAGTTTTCAAGCTATAGTGACAGGAAATACCAATTCATTTACTACAGGTCCAGTAGGGATTATCTCTTTATTTCAGCCATATCGTACCTCAATGACAGCCTCAGGAGCCTCTTTGGTCATGTAATGAATGGCATCTTGATCTCCCAACCAATCACTACCTTTCACTGTATCATACCTTTGAAAAAAGGTCATTTTGATTGAACTAGGTGTTGGTAACAAAGTCAAGAGGTGGTACATATAGAACAGGAAGTACTACTCACATATGCCATTTCCAATCATCCGGTTCCATATTGCCCAAAGCAGCATTCACACCACCCTACAAATATGGGTGAATGTATAAAAATATTATCCCCGTTGTAATTAGAAAGAAAATAGAAATTGGATACTGGAATACTCCTTAATTATGGTTGCCAAAGTAGCTACGCAGTTTCTTAATTTGATTAAATAAACTATCTGGTATATATATAACAAGTCTAACTTTGATAGTTTAGAATCAGAATTGAAGTTCTTGTTATTTTCAAGGCTGTCAATCTAGTCATACCACACCATTGTAATAAAATTAGTTTAACAAAACTATGAAAGAGTGTCTTCATAATTGAATTAACTTTTAGCAATATACAGTAGTAGTAGGTTCAAAGAATAAAATACTTCTTATCTAACATATTTCAATATTTACTTGTGCAGCAACAGTATGTGATCTGGTGGGAAACAGCTTGGTAATGCAGGCAGTTTTGAACCCTCCATTTGCCAAACCAAATGCAGCCCGGAGTCCGGCACCACCAGCGCCAACAACAATACAGTCGTATGAATGGTCAATCACTGGATACTCCTTTGAAAACTAAAATTGAAACCAGATAAAGAAGAATGTGAACATAAGAAACAGTATTGTGGGTTGAAAAAGTGCTTGCCAAGTCTGGATTTCGTGGTAGCAACTGGGTGGCAAAATAACAAAGCATACATCCTGGTTGGGGATCTTCATGCAGTTATTCTTCACACCTCCCACCATGATCAAAAGCCCCCAGTTCTATCCCTCTATTCTCGCCCCGAGCTAACAACGTCCTGGCTTTAATAAAAATTTGTAGAAACTCCCATGAAGTCAACTTCTGACAAAATTCACAGAACATGCTGAAAACATGTCGGACCTCACGTTTCAAAAACTGAGTGCATGTATCGCCCTTACCTCCGATTTTGTCGTCTTATTTGAACAAACGCCGCCAGAGCTGTGGTGAATTCCTCTGCTAACGCTTGGAAGAAGATTCCTAAAGCTGATTCCTGCACGAAGCTACAATAAGAATACGTTTCAAACTAAAATGTTCCTTTCATAACAAACCACGAATTTAAAAGACCATTTAGGAATCTTGAAAATTACAAGTCGAAAGGACACAAATAAAAAATCGTACCGAGAATTTTGAGAGACCAGTTGCAGCTCTACACGATGCTAGCATATCGTCTGTTAAATCTTTATTTTACTTTGAAGTATTTGAGAGTTTTTTGGAGAAAGTACAACTGGTTAACTTTCTACTCTCCAAGATGAAGTTGTTGCGCGCATTATACAAGAGCCTGGAAATGAGTTGCTGTTATTACGTAACGTATTAGGTAATGTATTAGGTATGTTACAATAATTACTGGAGGTCACTGGTCTCTACTGATGAATATTTCCGAGAAATGAGGCTCCGATATGACCACTATCAAATCTCTAATCTCACAGTTTTTGCTACGAACTACCCCACCTTTCCTTAGCCAGCTAACTTTGTCACACGACTGTTAGTTCAACCATTTTACAAGTTGTTAAACAGCCTATCCTGGGTACGAGGTTGCCTCGTACCCAGGGTAATTTCGCTGTGTTATAAGGGGGCGGGGGGGAGAGGGAGAGATTAGCCATTAGGGTACATCGCGGTCATCGCCCTACGACTTTTTCAACTTGTTAATTGTTATGATTCAAATTGATAGAAGTTTGGACGTATTTTAATAAACACTAGACTTTATTGCATACTACAATATATACAAAATTCAACAACCTATTATTAACAAAATAAACACCTTTGCTATAAACGTCCAATACTGTATATGTTGGAATTTCCAAAAGCTTCTTTTCAAACAAAACTCTTGTTTAAATTAGTTAAATTGCATGACGTAGCACAGCAAATAACCCGGCTGATAATAGGCCTGTAATCATGAAAGAGGAAACAAAAAATTATCGCAAAGTGAAAGTTAATTTAGATGATTGAATGAAAATCAAAATAAATGAAAAATATTTTTGAAATGAGCGAACTGAAATCACTGATCTAATATTACACTGGATACAGCAAGTATACAATATAAGAAGTTAAACGGTATAGTCTTACCTGACACAGGAACGGTGACAAGCCAAGCTATTAGGATATTGTTAAACACTTTCCAGTCCGTTACGTTTCTTGATCGCACTAAACCCACCAGAGTAACTGCTCCTACTAAGCAATGCGTGGTGCTTATAGGAATTCCAAGGTTTGAGGCGATCAGGACCGTACACACACTACCAAATTCTATGATTAAACCGCTAAAGACGTAAGATATATGTGTCAATTCCTGATATGGGCTAAATACAGGAAAACTAGTTTAGTTGAGGTTTCTTCCTGTAGTAACACTGGATCAATAAGAGATGATCCTTACTGGAACTCTAGGAAGAACAGTTTAGAACTGATAGAGTTATCCAGTATAAATAAAGTCAGTTTAGATGAGGTTTCCTCCTGCAGTAACACTGGATCAATAAGAGATGATCCTTACTGGATTTCCAGGAAGAACAGTTTAAAACTAACCCATACCTTGACGGAGTAATAGAAGACAATTCGTCTCCTATGGTTTCTATAACTCGTCTTCCCCAAACCCACAGTCCGATGGATATACCAATACCACCATATAGTAAGACCCAAATGGGAGTATTAAGTTCAGAATTAACAACACCATATCTATATGTTAACCATAGAGAAACAAGAGGACCTACAGCATTACTGCAAAGAATAAAATGAACACACTTTAAAATTTGATTGCCGATTTTTTTGGATGTGGTCCAGTGTAGGTGGTATTCTACAATAAGCTGTCATGGTTTGTGTCTGAACTACCTGAAAAATCTCAAACGTGGTGGTCTAGTGTAGGTAGTATTCTACAATAAGCAGTTGTGGTTTGTGTCTTAACTAACTGAGAAAGATATCTCAAACGTGGTGGTCTAGTGTAGGTAATTTTGTACAATAAGCTGTCGTAGTTTGTGTCAGAACTACCTGAGAAAGATATCTCAAACGTGGTGGTCTAGTGTAGGTAGTATTCTACAATAAACTGTCGTGGTTTGTGTCTGAACTACCTGAAAAAGATATCTCAAACGTGGTGGTCTAGTGTAGGTGGTACTCTCCAATAAGTTGTCGAATAAAAAGTTCATACCTAACATCGTTGCTGCCATGGGCAAAAGACGCAAAAGAGGCAGTCAAAATTTGAACAAATGCCAGCAATCTGGCGGTCTTTGGCTCGTCGGTAAGTACTTCATGGTTGCTCGGTTCCGGTGACTGTTTATCAGCTGCAGTGTCAGCATTTCTATCATCTGGAGGAGTTTCATTGATAATCCCCTCGCTATATTTCTTGTTGTTTGAGTCACTATTGCTAGCGCTACTTAACAACTTTGTCTTTTCTTTAAAATCTTTATCTGGAGATATAGAGATTTATTACCTAAGCCAAACCAGATCTAGAGGTCCAGGTGTAATACAGGATAAAATCTAAACTAAACTAATACTGGATAACTCTAACAGAAGAAACTGTTCTTCCTAGAGATCCACTAAGGATCATCTCTTATCGAACCAGTGTTACAACAGAAGGAAACCTAAACTAAACTAACTTCTTTTATACTTGATAGCTCTATCAGTTCTAAACTGTTCTTCCTAGAGGTCCAGTAAGGATCATCTCTTATTGATCAAGTGTTACTACAGGAGGAAACCTGAACTAAACTAACTTTATTTATACTGGATAGCTCTATCCGTTCCAAAATTGATTCAGTGTTACTACAGAAGGAAACCTAAACTAAACTAACTTTATATATACTGGATAGCTCTAGCTATCCGTTCCAAAATGCTCTTTCTCAAGGTTACTACAGTATCACTTCAGTTTCAAAATTACATTCCACACACTATAGACTATAGTCAAATACCTTTTTCACTATTTTCATCTACAACATTGAGCTGAGAATCATTAGTTGTACTCAGTTCAAATTCTTTGTCAATTTTCCTCCGCAAGTGGGGAACAAACAGAAAGCGCGTAAGAAGCGCTACAACAAGACCAGTCCCAAAGCTCAATATTAAACATCCATAAAGAGGAATCTTGTCGAAGCCGAGCACTTTAAGAAAACAAGTAAACACATTTCAAAATTTCATACCAAAAATGACCATGGAATACATTATACTTTGGTGGAAATATGATAACTATATTAACTGATTATTGACTGAGTGTGAGGTGTGTACTGTAAAATATCAGTACTGTCAATACTGTTTTTATTATGGACCAAGTGATGAACGAGCTAGGTCCATGCAAAAAACCTCTGATATTTTACAGCACAGAGTGAACAAGCGAGGTCAATAACCAGTTTATTATACGACTGAACTGCATGAGACATCTGGGATACTGGTTTAGATACAGAATATACACACTGTTACAATATGAAACTTACACTAAGTTCATTAATGTGTATTGTAACACACACAACAGTCCGGATAATGAGTTTTGCTTGCAATCAGAGTAGAGGATTTTGAAAGCCAAATAATACTACCAATTATAGACTATACTTTGGTGGAAGCAACAAACATAACACAACATCTAGAAAGCAAGCATTACTTACTTTCAGAGCCATTGTAAAACACTGCAAATAAGTTAACTGATATAACTATGAAGTAGATAATTGGCAAGGCAATCAGACCAGCACTGTACGAATCAGGCTAGAAAAATAAACATATAGTTAGTCTCGAATACAAATGCCTATTGCTGTTTCTTCACCTGAGTTTTTGACAGAGAAAATTTCACCTTTTTGAGAACAAAATATTGTAACGCCAGATAGAAACACGAGCTGATGGCTCCAGCCATGAGTGGGGATATTAACCAGGAGGCCACTACACGGAAATGTAAAACAAAGATTCTTGGAAATGTGAGAAATGGCATGAAAACAAAGCAAGCCTGAACGAAAAATGTGACCTTGGTGGAAGCATGCTACCATCCACCCATCTTACCTATCTTGCCAAATTCCTTCCACTTTATTGCCTTACCACCAAATGCCACCAACCCAAACCCCATCATGGCTCCAACAATGCTGTGGGTTGACGACACAGGAAGCTTCACCGCGGTCGCAATGATCAACCACACTGCCCCGCCTGACAGAGCACTAAGTGATCCCACTAGCAAATCAACCTCAGTTCCATTAACAAAATTACTTGTATCAACTATTTTGCCCCGGATTGTATCTGAAAATTAGATATTTTAGAATTAATAGATTTAGGACAGTTTTGAGATGATTTCTTATGTCGGACACTTCCCAGAGACAAACAGAATTTCAGTGAGAAATCAGTGGGGAAACTTTGTAGTCTGGGGTATGCACCTGTGACTTTGCTTCCAGCAAGGACAGCCCCAGACGTTTCACAAATGGCTGCCACAATACATGCATCTCTTAAGGTTAGCACTTTAGATCCAACTGATGTACCAAACGAGTTTGCCACATCGTTTGCTCCGAGACCCAGTGCGAGAATAAAAGCGATGATAAAACCAATAATAACAATCCATAGGTAACTATTGTCCATTGAATCCATTGCTTTATACCCCTTGTGCCTTTTTGATTTATATAAACACGTTAGCTACAATTAAACTATAAAAGATAACAGTCGACACTCGAAGCAAATATATCATAAACAGCTTCGTGTTCCGTTGAAGTTAACCAGTTTGTGTATAAAGCCTTCTTTGAGCCACGGAAAAGGATCTCATCTTAAGATCTTGCTATCGGCAGTCATCTTTGCTTCACTGCCCACAATGATATCGTTTGTGATATCGTGCTGTTCAAGACTTCAAGTAGAAGTAGTGGACCATATACAACACATTATTCATAAAAATTTGGACGGATAGTATCTCAAAAAATCATTTTAAAAACGAGATCATTTCCAACTGAGTACGAAAGCCAACCTTTTTGTGATGAACAAGTTGTGAACGTACGTTTAAAACTTGTTTTCTTTGCAATGGAAAAATAAAGAGCAAAAAGACAGAACAGCCACCATTTATTTTGCTAAAAATTATGCAGGTTTTAATTATTCATTCATTAATATATGCATCCAGGACTTCTTTTATGGATCAGTGGTTCATCTCACTGATCCGTACAGTAAAATGGATGGATTAGATTTTTTTTTGTTATATGTAAGTTATTTTATCTTGCATAATACATTATCCTTCGAAAAGAAACAAGCCACAAGTCTACACAAAAACCTTGTTGACAAACATGCAGTCTGAATGCGCAGAATAGCATTGTCTTCTGAGCTTTCTAACCAGCCAGTGTATATCATGGTTTTCGCCGGGAAAATAAACTGGACTACCAACATTGCTTGATAAAGATATACTTTAATTTCACATATATCTTAACTTTAATATAACATTAAATATCTCCGTGTAAATATAGTTACACTCTTATATTATTTACATTACTTTATTTCCACACTACGCCAATGTATAGAAATAAATAGGGAATATACTAATATATATTATTTATAGATATACACCTCAAATACCTGAGATGACAATAAATTACTTTTTTGTACAAAATATTTTGTGAAACAACACGGATTTTTTTTGCATGCATTTCTTTGTATAAATGACAGAAAACCTCTCTGAATAAGAGAGACGTTTACTGCCATTTCTTTTATCAGAAATATCCAGTGAAAACCTAAATCATTGCAGGCTTATTAGTCAGGAGAATATTTGTTTGGTTGGTGCGTTTTTGAGGGAAAACGTTTCAGATGGAAAGAGTATTTTACTAAGAATTCGTTGGTGTGGATTGTGTCCGAACTATCGGACGAGATCACGTATTATTGAACTGTTTTCCTATCGAGCTCAATTGAGTTCAAATTTTGACATGACATTTTTTGTGAAAACTCTGTGTAAAAGCGAGGTTAGATCGATAAAATTGAAGACTAAAGTTTGCGCGTCGAAAATAACTTCGGCGCGGTTGCGCGAATAGACGCGCGCACACACTATCAGAACGCATAATACTAGCAAATATACTACTTTACATAGAGACTATATAAGATGGCCAGTCGACGCTTGCACGCGAGTTTAAAATATCGCAGGGAAACGCGCACTAACTTTAATACGATGTTCATGGACGCCATAAATAAGCAAAGCCAACCATAATTATCCTTGCTCAAATATCTGCGCAAATTGCTTCATTTGTGATAAAAATCGCGAAGCAGATTTCACCGTCTATAATTCTCGATCATCCTTCACGATTTCCTTCGTTGAGATGAGAAACGGCCAGAATCTTGCGGTAAAAACAAACGCTTGATTTGAACTGGAAGTTGAACTTCAAAACACGACTATTTATATAGAGGAATGTCCAATATCACTCATATTATTGCCCTAAGTATAGTACTATGGCACGAATGCTCTTCATCAACACTGCTAAGAACTTTTTATATGAACATTAACGACGCTTTAGGGTCAAAAGTAGACACGTTGGGATAAGTCCGGCATTTCATGACCATTATCCACACTTGTATACCACAGTGCACCCGAAGTTACAACGCTAACTCCTCATCACGCACGAAGCCTGGGGACGACTCCATTATGTGCTGAATGGGACTAGGAAAAAAAGCACGGCTTTCTGGTCCGCCGCGGTTTGATGGGCCGGTTTCTGGGTGCCGTTCTTACGTATACCAACATACCAATTGCTATTTGTGTACGATCTGTACCAATGATACGTTTTCACCTCATGCGTAACGAATAACGTCTTCAATGAAAGACGAGTCTAAAAAGGAACAACAATTGAAAAAGTTTAGGTCAGTTCGCATGGATTTTGAAGTCTCTCAGCGGCCTGGGCGCTGATGCAGCGCTATATTCCAATAAAGGTCGCATTTTAAAAACGACAAAGCTTCAAATCAGGCTAAGCGCGAAAACGGTAACTGACCATTGTGTTTGTTCAGACACGTAGCTTTGAAACTTGTGTAAAAATGTCCACGAATTTAATCCTTTATCTAATCCTTTAGGACTAGCAGTTGGGTAAGGATTAGGGTCAGATTTAGGATTAAATTCGTGGATTCTGGTCATGGAATTGAGTACCAAAATAAGGGAAAAAATTGTCTGAACTTGAACTTTTGAAAGGACCTTTAACCTTTGATTGAGTCAGCTGCAAACTATACCATAGTCTATGGGCCACCCTCGAAACTTGCCGCGGCACTTTCGGAAATGATAGAGCCAAGTGAAGGCGTTGCCAAAAAATGCTGAATTGGCCGAGGCCAAATTAATTAAAATACGAGGACCACGCGGTTTAAGTGAAACGAGAGGAAATTTGATATTAGAAAACGATGTTTTAGGATGAACGTTTCGGGCTTGCATCTTGCAAAGCTGCAATTCTGGAATCGATACACATTCAGAAAAACGAGATGACGAGAACTCCAGGTTCTTATATATGGCTCGGTGTTGCAGGCTGCATGGAAAATTGGGACGGAGGAGAAATGAACCGGTTTAATGAAGTTGGATTTCTATTTAGCTCTTTCTTTGATAAGCCGAACAAAATAAAATATTAGGCCTACATTGAATATATGTGAATTTATGTTTGTGGGAATCAGTATGTTTCCCAGTTTGGTTGTATCCAACGCCCTGGTTGTATCTGAACCGCTTCAAAAGCCTAAGAACTTTAAAACTTTTAAATCTACTTACATGACCACGGAGTCTACCATTGTTTTCTTCCATAGCCAGATATCTACCCGTTTTAATATTTTTTATTCGAACGATGCCCACATGGACTGACTGAAGCTCGAACCAAACTAAAAATATCGACAAAAGATCATTAGATACATGAATACCTTCACGCGGACTAGCACTAAAGGGACACTATGCGGTTTTAATTTCCCAAAATTTACCCCAGGCTGCTAAATCCTATATTCCGGGAAAACGATTCAATCCAGAAAACGTCAAACTGTGTTTCTGCAACTCTTTTGCATCCATCAGAAACAAAAACATTTTATGCGTCTGAGAAAACAAATCGATTATCCACTTTCTGAAAGCGTTCATGTCTTTATTATTAAGGGTAAAGATTATAAAATGCGAGACAGACTCTGAAATAAACCGAAAAGTGAAAGTAGTGAATAAAATGGCTGCTAAGTTCATTCAAGTTTAGAAATTATTCATATTTTCGTCTTGCACATTCTGCAGAATGAATCTTTTGTATGTATTTTCTTCTGCTAGTTCTAAGTCGATTTCATAAATTGCAAATGCCAAAGTGATAAAACTAAATGCGTGGAGACAAAGTCTGACAGATTGTCAAAGGTTTGACACCTAGCGATATTTCTATATGCCTGTACAGTTTGATCTCGCCGCCTTGTTAAATTGGTTTATAGAATGTTTGTTCAGAATGGAGTCGGGGGAAATTGACTTACAGTCCAAAAATGAGATTAAACACGGTCAGAAACCAATAAAAATGCGATCCGGAACAATATCACAAAAGGATCACATTTCAGCTTTTATTTAATGAAGCTCACCGCAAAACACACGTAAACTCATTGACATTTTACACTCATTTTCACCAAAATTTTTTCGAGAGCTATGCTATCTATTTTGAAACCCTAGTAACGTAATTGTACACAAAAACGTGGCCAGATTGGATCGATAGCTTCGGGCATTTGCCGAATAGTTATTTCCCCAGCTGCAAGGACCATGAAGCGCGGGTATGAAAGCAAATGATAAACTAAAACAACAGCTTTTCGATCGTATATGTAAAGCTGTAGGCGAGAAGCCATCACAAGCAATATTTCGAATTTTAATATTATGAACGCCCCCGAGAGATGGAACAGGAAAGCAATTTGGCATTCATTTCGCTGGCAATTAATGCAAATATGAAAATCTGTTACTGTCAAATAATGATTTGTGGCCACTTTATCGCCGACACGATCTCTTTCGCGACCTTCAATTTACACTATCAATCTAGCGTCTTTCTCGACCCCTCCGATGTTACGTTTGAAAGAGACCCCTTGTCCTTCAAAACAGCACGATATTGAACGAATGCCATCTTGTGCATGTCGTTCCGAAGCGAAAAGTCACAGGCTAAGTAAATAGAGCGTAGCTTCCCGTGAGAAAAAGGCTTGATTTTTTTTCATGAACTCGAAAACATATTATAAATGGCGCAACACCTTCGTTGTGTTCACGAAATTTCGCAGATACACGATAAAAAAGTGATTTCCTGTCCCATTGAGAACGCTACAAAATTTCCAAAGAAGTGCTGAAGGCTTTAGATCGCCTCTTCCGACTTATATAATCAAATGTACAGCTTTGTAAAGCTTTATAGTGTGAAATTGACATGTCGAAACCTTCGCTTACTTTCGCGCCATTTGTTGCAAATGGGGAAGGAGAGAAACCCAGCGGAAAGGACGCTCGCACAAACCCATTGTAGCCTTAACAGCTTTGGTAAAGTAAATATCATAAATAAATACTAACGTAAGAACAGTTGAATGAGCCATTTCATAATCCAGGAGCTGTTTAATCCGATTTGGCGAGTCACGAGAAGTAAACAGCGTAGTGTTTTTCACTACGTTCAAACATGATCAAAACAATATGTTTCACTGTCAAGGTCAGGGAAGCGTTCACCTCGAACTTTGTTTAAAATCAAGATCCGGCTACTTTCCTAAAAATGTTTAATATCAAGAAACAAAGCCGTACGTGTACTTACCGTTATCACTCATGTCATGGGTCCCGTTTACGAATCCATTGTTTGATATCTGAAGCAGATAACCATTCCTTGAAAAAAGCATAACCTTGCGAGTATTCGTCGATGGGGCTTTAACTAACGATCGGTCTATTAAGCCGTTCAACAATGCTGTTGATCTGTCTTTCAAACGATATTTTTTCACTTTACTCCTTCTAGGACTGCCTGCAAATCCTTGTGATAAGTTGAAAGCCTTCGCTAGATTTGTAAGATTTCTTTTCAAACGTCGTTGTAAACTATTTGATATTCGGCGGTTAGTTGGGCTTGTTTTAACAACAGTAAATGTGTTCAAACACACCAGAACCACTCCAAATATACACAACACCTAGAACAGAACAAAAAGATCTTGAGAATGGTCGATTTTACCACTAAATATGCGATCACATGCATGTAAAAACAAACTCATGCAAAGTGCAACAAAACCTCTAGAGTGAGGGAGACTTTCGCTTCAGAGCTTTTGAACGTGAACTTACAAAGCGCTGCTTTCTCATTATACGAGCACGAATTGTTGAGCTTTATATATACCACGAAGGTAACATCCGATTACTCGATGAAAATCCATCACACGAAAACCAAGACGATCGCGTTAACTTCGTACAAGGGCTGCCAAACGCAACAACACTGTTTAGTGTTTACGCATGTAGCAAATACGAAGGGATATGTTTTTCGGCTCGAACGAGGACGCCTGTGGTATGTAGACCGTGTTTGCGAAAGAAACGATCATTTACATGACACAATGATTACACATAACCCTTTCAATTTGAATGCGATGGCTTGTTTGATCTCAAAGTGATTTGCCTTCAACTTTGAGCGACGTTGCGTGACGTATTCGGCGAAAAATTTACGAGCCTCTTGAATAAATTTGCTTTGAAACGATTTAGAACGTTTTCAGGATTACAAAACGCCAACAAAACGCTTTCAGGCAGCTTAAAAAGCGATTAGTACATAGCTCTATTTGACAAAAGAAAAGAACATTCGCCGACGAACGTTTGGTTCCAAGGAGAGGCATATTTTGCTCAAGTGTGTTCGGCAAACTGCCACACGTCTGACAATCAAAAATCACTTCGAAAGAGGAAATGAAGCTATTTCACAAATGAGTATTTAAACGACTTTAAAAGCCCTCATGCCCATGGGTGTTGAAACCTTTCGAGACAATAAATGAATTTTTGATCAAATTATTGACGAATAATTCAAATTCCTGGCTAGCTTCTAAAGAACAAGCTATCGCTTGAAAGCAAAAGAGATCGCTTCGTGGAACGGCAAAATTACAACAACATTAGCACGTGTCGTCCTGTAATCGAATCGAATTGAAGAACAAATGTGAAGAGGTCCCAAAGGCGAGAAATTTATCAATGAAAACATTCTTGGTCCCAATGAATGGAACACGTGAGGGGATTATAATATTTACACAAATCTTTACAACCATTCTTTCCATTACAGATCAGAGAAAATTGCGAAAAGTATGCGACTATTAAATTTACTCTACAAAACCATCCAGACCAAGTACTTTAATATACCTCGAGTGGTCGAGACTGTTTACAATGGCTAAGTGTGTTGTATAGATTGAACTAAAAAGTACATAATCCATTAAACGTTTTCGGATTGCTCTTACACATCCCAAAAACAGATATAGTAGAAACGAATCATACAATAAAACTATCCAAAAATACATTGTAAAAAGACAGATTTTGAAGTAGATTTCAAAAACAGCAGCAAGACACGTTTCAAATCTTGTACAAATTGCTAGAAAGTTTCAAAACTGAAACAGACTATTTTAAATTGTTTTGAAGTGTCGACGTGTTAAAACGTTTAGCCGGGCTGCTCGTATTTACGTACTGAAAGCAAATAGTTACCTTGTACATTCTTGATAAATTAATATAGTGCCTTGGTACTGAGATAAATATCGCCTTTCGCCTTGTGATCTCGCGTTCTAACCGTGCACAAGATGTGCTCGTTTCTGCTCTTAAATAGAAATTGTACTCCGCGCTAATCATCGCTACTTTCCTGTAGTACACCCACGACACAACGATATATTTTCAGTAACCATGTTGATTAAGCAAGTACCACTTACAGGAAACGGAAACCGACTCACATGCACGAGGTCTGTGTGTGTGTGCGCGGTCTGCCTTTGAGACGAAACCGCCCCACGTCCTCTAGGGCACAGTGAAACTCAAACATGCATTAGAAACATACAAGGGACTATTAAGAATCGCTTAATCCTTTTATCAATACGCGCTTGTTACACGCTACACAAATAAACACGACAAGAAATAAAAAAAAGCCCCAAGTACGGCGCCAAACCACCGCGTGAACTGAAAGTTTACACCACCTAGATGTCTTAATAAGACTCTTAAATCATCACCTTAAATGCAACTCATTACTGTTTTTAGAAGAGGAATCAATTATACTCTTCAGAAGGCAAAAAGAAGCTACAAGTAGCTGGGTACATGCAATTAAGCGAGTACAATGTGCACAATTTATGAATGTTCCAATTGCAAATCGTGTTTTCTAAATTTCTAGACAGTGATAGCTATATTTTGCTTTTCCCAAAATAGGAAACGCTTAATTCGTTCAATAAAATTGCTGCGTGTTTGGTTATGAGGTAAAGTTATTTTTACGCGTGTTTTGTCAGCATGAGCTATGAACGTAGTTGAAACTTTATATTTCGTTTTGTCTCGCGAGTCAGCGCAATTTTCCATCGTGCGTATACCGGCAATTCGAATGGATATTTTGAGCAAATTATCCAAATTTCGGCACTTACAAGTCCATTTACAACTCGGTAATGATGAATAAAAGTCTGTTAAAGCGTTAATAAAGTACCGAAGACACATATCAAAGTGCAATTTTATTCTGACGCAATGCGATCTTAGTTTTATTACCCTAATTCACGCGTCGGTCTTTCGCAAAAACTTGGACGGTGGGAATTTTAATGAAGCTGGCCATTACATTAAATGGCTTTTAAGAGAGAATTTAGGACAAACAGAAATTAAATCATTTGTCTCTCCTTCGGCAAATACAGGAGATCAGCAATTAGTGGATACTTGTAAACATGTCTTATTTCCGGAGTTTAGCGTTAATACGATTTTCCAAGTTAGTCAGCAGCAGACGTATTGTATTAGCAATCAGGCCAAGGCTTGATTGCACAGGACGCCTGGAATTGTTCGCCAAATTGGCTCCAGGTAATAACCGTATTTGTGACTGCTTTAGATATTATACAAACTCTGAAAACAAAATAACCTTCTGGCAACTCCAAACTATGCGTCGCTATATACGACCTACATGTTTTATGAAGTTATTTTATTTCAAGTGATATAATTTGAGTATCTTTGTTTGAACATTCAAGTAGTTATCTCTAGAAATGAAAAGAGAAATTCCTTGCTATTTACGTCCTGAAAAGCTCTTTTTTGCACTTCAGTGGGGATCGATCATTGTGGTTCTTGGGTTATTTCAGGAGAAATTTCGCGTTATTTCTGGAACGGTCATATTAGTCACAAAACTCTTTCAAGAAAATGCTAGAAAATTACACATTTGATTGATCAAAACATGAAAGAATCTTTACCAAGAGCTTCCTGACGTGGCGTCCACATCCGAATGCGTCTAAATATACTTATCACCGCAAATTATGTCGAACGCCGGTTATTTTTTGATGCTATTATCAGTTTTATGATGTACCCGTGCAAGGTTATCAATGAGCTAGGATATTACGGTATTTAGCAAGATTACTCCGAGATGGAGACACGATAAGTTTGTTTATTCGAATGTCATTATTACAATCGAACTAGAAAATCTTGATTCATTACATCCTAGATAAGAGCAAGTTCATCTAATTGACCGGAGATCAACTTATTGTTTCTCCTGTTCGTGAATCTTTGAGCGTAACGTGTTTCAGTTGAAACGCGCACGCAAACGTAACTTCAATTACGGGGCCTTTTAATTCGAAAGAACAGCGTCTCTGCCGTAAATTACACGCGACACTCGAAACGGTTCAACGCGGCGACGCAGGACCTGAGTGCACACGTACGTATCTGCAATCCTCACGCTGTTAATCCATCAGGGTGCTTGGCGAAACTAAACACAAGGTCAACTGCGCCCAATTGCATTGTTTTTTAACACGAGAACCGCTGTGTGCGATAATTAAGCGAAAATTATCCTAAGACGTGGGGTTGATTGAATTGCAAGTTAATGGGGGCCATTAATTTCAAATGCAAATGAAATAAGTCTGAAAGACGATCTTTGAAATGTTTTAAATACTGATATCGCGTTCAGTATTTCGGTGGTGAAGTTCACGTAATGAGCGATGCTATTTTAAGAATGACTATATATATACAGTGGTTTTTGTTGGACCTCTTTGGTTTGCGGTCAACTCTATCAGGCACACGCGTCAGCAATACAAAAATTCTTCCCCATGCAGTCAACGCCTCACCGTAGATTGGCTTTGGCAGGCGTCGGCCTACACACTGGGCCGGTGCGTGGGAATTTTGAATTTCCCAATGTGGGTTGAACTCTAATTGGCGTTATCAACATTGCATGCCTAGTATTATATACGCAGGTGACGCGAATATAGATATACAGGAGACAATACGAGCTATAGAGATGGTTGATTTTTACCATCATAGCTCGGATGGGTGTGATCGAAGCATTGACGTCAATCCAGGTCATCATCATGCACTGTGTTGTTTTGTTACAATCTCTGGAGATCCTATGTTTTTCCATGTCAGTTGATATTGAGTTTTTCTCCCGTTTTTTCTTGGCAAAACTCGAGAAATAATTAGCTTTGATTCCCTTTGAATTGGGCTATACTCCATTACTTAAAGAACGAATCACAATTCACAAGAAAAAGATCTGTGTAATCAATCCTTCCTGAAAGCCTAATTTTAACCTGATAGAAACAAAAACTAACTAAAGTCGTGACTACCAGAGAACAATTGCCATTTCTGACGATACTAACGATTAATAGAAAAGAAAGTTTGACATCTTATATCCACGATGAAACTACCGATTAACTGTTACACCGGTAGAAGAAAAGATGTACAAACTGTGGTAAATCCGTACTGCATTTTGTTTGCTCAATCATCAATGCATGGACAGCAAGCGTTTCAATTAGCGATGTCTAAAATCACACGCCAGCCGCATTGTTGTCGTTTAGTTTGCAGGAATTCTTCGCAACTTAATCAAAACAACCAATAATTGAGACCGGTGTTGTGCCGGGAACTCTAACCCTGCTATAAGAAATATTATGCCTTGCCTTCAGTGCTATAACAGTGCAGAAGCAATGGCCATTTCAAAATGGAAATATGACCACACGAGTTAATTGCTATAGGCTTCTTAGAATTCAACACTAATTCTGAGAAATTCCTTTCATTCAAAGCAACTACAAAGAGCTGAGGGGGTGTGAAACCTTTCATATATATATTTGAGAATAATAATAAAAACGTCAGCTCTAATCGTATGGATATGCTAGGTCTATGTATGGCTTCTGCATCCTGCTGAGGAATCCAAAGAAAGAATAATACAAGTGGGACATTTATTGTTCGACCTCCCAAAGATAACACACACAAAACGCGTAGACGCGTGAAGAAATACCGTTCCAAAGGGTTCATTCAATACAATTCCTTCTGTGGGAAGTTGATAGCATGAAGTTTGGGTCCTCTCTGTATTTATGCGCTCCGGAAAACCATCTTGTATGGACTCATAACATTTTAATAAAAAACAACAAGAGAACACGTGTTGAGAGAATGTGTTTTCCCCCATAGTAAATTGACTTGGGAATTTTCGCGATAGCCAGTGCTTCATTTAGAGAGATTAAAATCTATGCATAAGACTGTGTAAACCTGCGGAGTCTATTTCAGATAAACAGCATTCAACGCAAAGGGAAAACAACGCAAGGAAACCAGAAATATATTCTATGTTTTGGCGAAAAACTGCGGCTAGTTTATATCAGATTAAGAGCTTTGAACACAGAGGAAAGTCAAAAATCATATGTTGTTTTGACGATGAAGTTGCCTGCAGGGGCCAAGTCTAGCGAGTGTTCTTAGGTTTCCTGTTGTCACGCTGTGAAACAACATTGAATGGGATAGAGTG